ATATGAGAAAAAAAAAAGGGGGGGGGGGGGGAATGAAAAGTAGATCAAATATTTTTTGATATGTCGATATGTATTAAAATTGACTATGGAGTTTTGGGAACACTAATTTTCAATTAATTAATAGCAAAATTGAAATACACTAATTTCTAATTCACAAATTATAAAATTAAAGCAGTAATTTCTAATTAATTATTATCATACTGCAACTCTTTAAATAACAAATTTAAAGATTAATCAAATTGGAACTCTAGTTTCTAAGGATTTGTTCTATAATATATTGCTTAAAAAATATGATTACCTTCGAAAGTGATCCTTGTACATACAAATACACAGATTTTTCCTTTATCTCTGTACCCAAGATAGACAATGTGACTGTATTAGCAGTATCCGGAGTTACGTTATCAGGCACGATTAGATCTATCGCCACGTTGCTTATTTGTCCAGGATAAATCCATGCGCTAAAACACGAGTAATTAGTGGATAATTAGTATAATGCGTTACCGTGTGCTGAAAATTAAATTAGTGAAAATAATTGATATTCGAATTACTGAACGAAGTTGGTGCAAAACTATCAGCTATTTTCCATCAATTTAGGGTAGTCTAATGAAAGAATGTTCCTTGCTATATCAGACTGTAGATTTATTAAAAATTCTAATATTAATATCTTAATACAACAATTCACAATTTTATTAAAATTTACACTACCGAAATTACAATACAAGAAATTTTAATTTCATCAAAATTGCAATACTGAATTACAGCATAAGAAATTACAATCTGAAACTAGCAAAAGAAAAACTTGGTCTTCGATAAAACGTGAATGTTATTAATCTAATTATTATAGCAGGTGATTTGCTGATCTCAAGATGATCTTAATCAAAATTATATGACGTATATGTCATGTAAATATTGAAATATACATCTACCTTCAGGGAGTTTTACTTTAAGTACTAAATATTATATCACGATTCACTTACTAGGGTGGTTGAATGTTGTATACTCTAAAAGGAGTGCTCTTTACCCTGAACGCGTATCTGACAGGCAGAACACAGCTATTCAGTACATCAAACACTACTCTATGTACTGTTCCTGGTGTGACAAGCAAATTGCTGTTTTTGTTCACTTCTATCAGCGTTCTTTTCTCCTCGATAGTATTCTCATTGGCGTAATTTACCAACTCTTCAGACAATTCTCGATTATGTAGAGGCTCTGCCATTCTCATGGATATGTTAACCCTCTTCTCCATTGGTATTCCGATATCGATATCGAGGTTTTCCATTTTTCCAATGGGGGATCGAGTGTGGGGTTCCTCCCGCTCCTAAATCAACGTTGTATTAGTAAATTGATAAGTGAAAGTTATTATTTTACGCCACATGGTATAATTCTTTTCTTTACTTTTAATATTAATTTTTAATTTTTAATATTAAACTTTTAATATTAATTTTTAATATTATACTTTTAATATTAATTTTATTTTATTTTGAATAGTTCTAATTTATCAGTAAGGGGTCAAGGTTTAATGAATTCGATCATATCACTCGTGCTGTGAAGTTTAAGCTCTTATTACTCACTAGAAAAACAAATGCGGACAGAAAACATGCTTCATTTTTTGCTTGTCTTTTTACTTGAAGAAATTAAACAAAATAGCTGAGAGGCAGCCTACGACAAATTCGATAGTACGATGTTAGACTTATATAGATAAACGCGGAAAACAAATGCAAATTCAAAATACAAATATAGGTAAGTCTTATATGGATATAGTAGATAGAGTATAAAATTATATAGTAGATATAGTATGTAAACATAGATACAGTATTTCCTTCGTGTTTCACATTCTTCTAATTTTTCATTTAATTTTTAATTTAATTTCCTTTTTTGATAATTACGTGACGAACGTTAGTGATATTTTTTCTTATAAAATTTATCTGTAGAAGTAACTAGGCAGTAAGAACTAAACACTTTTATCCTTTGTGTAGGTGTAGGAAGGTTAGTACCTAAAATTAGTTGAAAAATATACAGTTTAAGAATAATCTATTTGCAATAGTTTGAGATTACGTAGGAGTAACAATCATACGTGATTTAATAGGGCTGTTGCAATTCAAAGTTTTCAAAAATGAAGGAAACAGATTATGTAAGCAAACAATACGCGTTTCTATATCTTTTCTATGATGTCAGACGGTCAGATTTTGAAGTATAGTGATGATACATACGTTGACTCACGCTACTCCCGCAGTGATTATCGTTTTAAGTTATTTTAATAATTTTACGAACGCAATAGAGATGAAATAAGTGAAATCATAATTTTCAAAGTTTCTTACTCTAAATATACTTACCTATAAATCGTTATTCGAAACACACTTCTTTTTCAGAAAAATTGTCCGAATGAATATACCTTTAATATTTAATTGTCATAAAACTAAATATTTTCAAGTAGCAATGTAAAATTATTTTCGTAAATCGATTCTGAAATAATTTCCTTCTTATATCATAATAATTGTAGCACCATTTATTAGATATCGATGCAATAAATATCGAATAAAAAATAAAATATTTAAAAACGAATAAGAAAATATCTACTAAAAGAGTTAAATATTTAATACCAGAATATTAATGAAATAGATATTTAAAAAGAAATAAAATACGTAAAATATTAGAAGATAAATTAAAAAGATATTTAATAAATATTATATAATATTATATTAATTATTATATCATATTAATAATATTATATATTAAAGAAAATTTAATTATCTTTACCTCTATTGGAAGCAACGTTTCAAAAGATTTTTCATCGAAAGAATTTGATGAAGTAGTTCCATTTTCGTCAACGTCTACAAAAGTAACATACTCAACAATATTATTAAACTTATTTTTAGTACTGGATGTGGTCACCGATAAACTATTATCGGTAGAATTTTCTTTTCCTGTTCTGTTGTTTTTGTCTTGATTTTGTTGGTAGTACTTCAATGATTTTCCTCGAGATATTTTTCTATTTTCTACAATTTCGGAGTTGTCTGATGCGTCGAAATTTGGCGGTCCAATTAAAATTAATTCAGAATTAATTTCCTGAAATGATTTGGTATGAGTCGATGTTCGTTAATCTTTTTATTTATTTTAATTCGGTATACATTACCATTTCTTTATCATCGAATGTTTCCTTGTTGCTCTGTGATACATCGTTCTCTGTTCGAAATTTCGAGTGATAATTCGCAATCGCTTTGTTATCGGAGTTTCCTGTAAACGAAAATTTCGTTATGAGATGAAATGAAGAAATTCGATTGAAAAATGATCTTTCTTCGTCTTGTTGTTCAGATAAACTGTCGAATCCACAGATGGAAGAAAATTTCATTTGCTCGAGAGATTCGAATTGCAGATATTTATTTACATATTTATTTATACATACATACGTTGTATACATTATATAATTGAATATACGTTGGAAACATGTACTTTAAAGAAAACTATGGCAAAAATGTAACATTACATAATAATTAATATTTATTGGATATTTAAATACGATAAAAAATATTAACCCTTTGCACTTGGCGATTTTTTCGTTACAGAAAAATAGTAATTCGAAAACTTTCTGCCATAAAGTCGACGATATTTTTAAAATGGCAAATAAGAAATTGTATGCAAATTAAGACGTAAAATTATTTTGCTTCGATATTAATTATAAAGATATAATTATAAATTTGATATATTAATTAACGTCCATCTTTAGAATTTTATTAAATGACTGAGAGGCGTCTCTCGAGTGCAAAGGGTTAATTGGTATTAATTTGAATTATTATGCTTTTATGTGTTTCCTAGCATAATACTAATAATAATATATATTATTATACATAATTAATAAAATACAAAACATATTATTATTTTAAGAAATATGTGTAAAAGCAAATAGTTCAAAATTTCTTTCACTTAGTACTTTTCATTGCATTCAAATGCTTAGTAAATATTAATTATTAATATTAATTAATTTCTTCTACCTATTCGTTACAAAGGATATACACATACATATACTTTTTAAATCTGTAATAATTACTTATCTATTTGCAAAAAATATACTTTTCGTATAACACAGAATCAGTTTTATTTCCACATACACGTAGTATATCATAATTAATTATACAAAGTATTTAAATGTTCACGTACCGTAGCAAAATTGTTAAATTGATAGAATTGATACAAATCAAATTAAAAGTAACTCGTGCAAGATAGGTATGAAGATTAAAGTTCGTGCTGTATTAACAGATTTAATTCTTGATAACGACGTATCAAGCTTATATATCTATGAGTAATTTTTCATAGTTCAAAAATCACTCTTCAATTTCGAAAAAGAAAAAGGGAAAAGGTCAAATCTGATTAAACAATTCTGTTAAAACATTGCAAATAAAACAAATAATATCAACTGACTCTTGCCATAATCAGCCATGAATTGTCATCTCTTAGTTCGAAAGATGTGCGTCATTTCCTAGTCAAGTACGTAAACCGTAGAGCAGATACAAATGTTTTCTCAAGAATATTGCCATTGGTAGTCTTCGTTCAGAGACTAATACAAACGCGTTGTATATCAACGTAATACGTATTGACTAAAATTATTCGGGAGATAAGGCTTTATCGCGTCGTCTAATAAAAAATACGAAAGCGAGACATGCAGAAATATAACTGCTTAACGTAGCACTTTCGAACTATGTAATATTGCACATCAGTATACTGTTACGAGCTCAAAACAGATTTTATCGCGATTTTTTGACATTCAGAGTCAAGTATTTCTCCTTTGCAGAACTCGGATTAAATAGCGGAGATGTACTGTGACACATGATTCTGTTAAATCGCGACTGGTTGGTCCACGATTGCGATAGAAATTCGATTTTAAACTCGTGACGAATTTAGTAGACGGTATTTTAAAAGTTGGAAAAAATTCTTCGATAAATTTCTTCGAACGTGCTTAAATTCTGGAAATGGAACAGAATGTAAGTTACGTTGATAGATGTTAGTTATAGCTACTTGCAGTCAGTTTAATTATTATATGATTAATTTTGTACGAGTCATTCTAGTCCTAGCATTTATGCGTGTAACGGTTGAATTGTTCACAAGTGTTCATTGCTTTTTGTATTATACTTTAGTTTCTGTGTATTGGATAATTTATAAAAGATGATGATAATAATAATAATTACTAATAATGAGTCAGAGGATGCTAGTTATATTGCAATAATTAATTAACATTACAATTTGAATGCAGAATATTAAACATCCTGTAATAATTAGTAGAATAATGATTGAATCACTATTAAATGGTAGAACAATGATTCATTCACTAATAAACCATTTTTGAATAATTAGCAGAGTTAGTAATTCAAATAATTAATAAATTATTTTCAAGTAATTATTAATGATATAATCTGAATATAGGCAAATCATCTTTTAGTAATCTACAGCTCAAGCATTGATAAATTATTTCCTAATAATTAATAATCCGAAAAATAAATAATTCAAACGTATAAATAATATTTTAATATTTAAAACTATGATAATTCGAACACAAATCACACTTTAATAATTAATAATTTATTTTATAATTCAGACAATAGCACGTCATCTACTGGTAATCAATATTGCAATAACTCGTCCAAATAACAAACAGCCTCCATTCATCAAAACTTCGTTTTATCTCCAACCATAACCTCTATCCCCTCCAACTGGCAGTACCTTGTTCTCCCACCACCTTAAAAAACATCATAACCTAACAAAACCTAAAACCCTAAATAAGTAAATCCACTCTTCCAAAATCCGTCAACAAATGACCAAATGCACAACATCAAACTCAAAATCGGATTCGCATTAGTCACGAATGATCTGAACCAGCGAGCATGAGCAAAACAACGACAACTCTAAACCGCGACCATGTTCGCAGTTTTTTGACATGTTCAACGAGCACACAAATGCGGAATCAAAGTACACGGTCAAGATACAATCTGGCCGTTAATAATAGAACACGTGTGCATTCGCTGCTGGGTAGCTCTGAGCACTGTTTCTCAGAAACCATGTTTCACGTGCTCACTTGATCCTTCTTCGCGTCAGGTATCATCTCCTCGCGTGGCTCAACCATGAGGAAGAAGCGAGGAGAAAGAGAAAAAACTCGATCTTCTCTTCCTGCAGCCCGTGTGCGTCAGCCAAACGCGCGAACTGGCTGACCAAAGGGCAGCTCGACGGCATGTATTGCACAACAAGCTCGTATCTGCGAGCCAGAAGGCAAGTCGACGATTAGCTTGGCAGTTGTCAGATGGACGCGTCGTGAGCAAGTCTCGAACACAACACAACGTGGAAACTCGACGCTGTTTGCCAACAGCTCCAGATATACTGGCTGCTCGCTAGGCCATCCAGGGCTACCTCTTTCATCTGGATATACTTTCATCTGCTCTTTTGGGACTTTTCGAATTCTACCTCGGTACCATTTTCGATACCGCTTCGACGCTACATTTGCCATTGATCCTTCGTCTAGAGCTCGAGAGACTGTCTAGGTAAGCTCTCGCTAAAAAGCTCACGTTTGCCAGTGATCGTTGTAGACCTAATTGCTAATGTGCAGAGACTGCTATTCTGCTGTTTGACTATTCGATTGATCCTTCGTTTGGGACTCGAAAGGTTGCCTACGTAAGCTTCGAACATGTGTTTCTCAGTGGCCATGACAGATTTTAGTCAGGAACGTGGTGAGCCTGCTACTCTATCGTTTGATCGTTCGGTTGATTATTCATTTGGAACTTGAAAGATTGTTAAGTTCAGATACATGTTCCGCAGTGAACGCGAAAGATTTTAATTGTAAATGTGACGAGATTGTTGTGTCGCGAATGAGACGCTGATCATTGACTCATCCGCGGCTGATACCTTGACAACCCTCGCGTAGAAGTGTGCACGTGTCTCTGGATTTTTGTAACAGAATGTCTGTTTCTACGTGTCTCGCGGTTGTAATCTGCGAGTAATGATATTTTGAACAGCAATTATAGATAGGCAATCGGAGTAGTGATTATATTGATTTGATATCGCGTTTGTTGCCAGTCTATAGAGAGGATGTACAGGTATAGGTTACTCGATTATGTGTAGATGAGGTGGTACGCGTTGAATATGAGAATTGTTTCGTTTCACAAATAGTACAGACATTGTTCACGAGTAGAGGATGACGTGCATGCTGATCGTGGAAATTATTGCGTAATTTCGCTGTTTTAGTTTAATATCTGCCACGAAGATATGTTTTTATGCACCGACTGGTTCTGACAACTGGAAATATTCGTGGATCTTTCTGAGTGAAAATTTTCCATTTACGGTACACGATATCGTTACGTGTTTATCTGTGACTTGGCTGATCGTAATTTATTAAATGTTTTAGTAAATATTATTATAATGGTAAGCTTGTCTTGTGGATGATAGAATTAGATTTTTTATTGGATGGTTTATACTTTTATGATCGTGACAGAAATCACGATACGTTTCGCTTATTTTATATTTTCTACTTTTTCTTTGAGTGGAGGGGGGTGGAAGTGTTATTAAGGTTCGTGTTTAAATGTTTTCAAATGGCACTTTGTTACGGATTTTTAAATATTGGTGACGTTATTTTTACAAAAGTTGACTTTCGGTAATATGGAATTTTTGATGTTGATGTTCTATTTTTGTTTATTATGTATTTGTAAACAGGAATAATTGGAAATTATAGGCTGACACTGTTTTTTGCACTTTCAAATTCTTGTTGCTTTACGGTTTGATACACAAGTGTCTCACTTTCGTTTCTATTCCTTCCGCAATGTTACACAAACGCTCAATTCGAAATGCTTGTTACGTTTCAGTTGCATGCAACGATTTTCCTTCTTGTCTTCTTACACTTAGTATGCTGTGCATTAATCACGAGTATGTATTCGGTTCCTTTTAATTGTACTTTCATTTCTACGACGAGAACTTGCTCTGTCTATTTGGAAAATATTCAGGAAATGTACAAAATTCTATAAAATTCCAAATTTCATATATTAATTAGTATTATCACTGTTTTATATTTTAATAATATCATAATATCGTAGGAAGTTTAAATAAATTTAAGTAAATAATATTTTAGAATTTTAAATGTAAGAATAACGAATTAGGAATTTTTGAAATAAAATTTGAATAATAATTAAATAAACCGAGGAACATACTTTAGATCTTCAAAACATGAATATCCAAATTTGGTATTTACAGACTTAAATGATAACGTATGCATAACACTATTATATAATAGCAGGTAATCATTGCAGATTACACTTCAAGGTACACGCAATCGAATTAATCTCAAATTATAAGCAGAATGTTTCATATCACGCAATTAAAGCTAAAAATGTCTGTTCCAATAAAATCAAGTTCAAAATAACACTACATCGGCTATCAGGAAAATTGCAGCACATATAATAATTATACGCTATTAAACAAAATTATAACTTCGGATAAACTATTTACATATCACACTACTCTACATTTTCCTTACTAGTATACTTATCAGCAATAACTCATTAAAACTTCCGAAATTTCCATTGCCTAAAGGATCTTAAAACAGATCATGTTTCTAAAATTACCAAAATTACAACTTATCAAAATCACCAATCAAAATTAATTCATTCAAAATAACAACCTTTCATTGCTCACGTAGATCAATTCAATACCCAAAACAACATATCACCCAAACCAAAATTCCCAGTCCACAATAACCAACAAATGATCGAAAAAGTAAACAAATTTTCACTCACCGTTCAACCAGGTATCCGTAAAAAATAGTTTGCCCGCGTCGTTGTCTTCGTCCACGAACCCTTTTGTAGTGAAGTGATACTTCGAACGGTCCTGTCCCGCGAGCTTCATTCGCCACTCGCCAGGTGGCGCGCCGCGCGCGTCGATTCTCACCCCGTTGGCATCCCTCTTGCTCACCCAAAACATCGTTCCTCGCCTCAACGCTGTCGCGTCTGTTGATCAAAGCACACGATGGTCTCTCTCGCATCTCCAATACCCATATTCGACACCCGTGTTCGCCAAGTGGTCATTGCTCGAGCATCTAGCGACGTCTCGCAATGAACGTCGCGGTTTGAGGACAGTGGACGATGTGCGCGCGCGAAATAATCCGCGAAGAAATCGCGGACGCGAAGTGTCGCGTGTAAGCTTTCATCGGAACGCTAAGCATGGCTTGATTCAGCGAATGGGAGCGGAATTTTTCGACACGGTCGATATCATGAATGCCGGGTTGAGCGGATGTGGCCGTGAGCGGCGACAGGCGAAGGAGAAAGAACAGTGACGTTTGTTCGTGCGTCTGAGATCCCTTGATGGGAACCCTAGGTAACTACTTGGGTGGATTGATAGATCCAATGGAAGAATTGTGTCATTTCTACATCCTGCGTTACATCCATGGGACAGCTGAAGAGGTTTGACGCTGTTTCAGAAGTAGTCTTTATGTGTCTAGATTGTGTTCCTTGGAGAGAACTTTAATAAGTACTTGGATGGATCGATAGCTTTATTGGGGGATTTGTGTTAATCTTGTTATATCTACGGACCAGTTGGAAAGGTTCGACTGACACCTTGACTACGTGTTTGAGGAATTACTATTACAGTGTGTTTAGGTATATCCTTTGGTGGGAAATGTAATAACTATTTGGATAGATTGGTCGTTTTATTCCAGGGTTTGTGTTATTTTCGTTGCATTTGCGGATGAGTTGGAAAATTCCACAGTGTTTAAGAGTTCATCTTTAATGCGATGTATTTCTTAGGATTCTGTTGATTACTTAGGTATGTGGATTGTGTTGCTTTTCTTATATTTGCAGGTGAATTAAATTGAATTTTTAGCATGTACAGATACGTTCCTGGATAGGATCTCTAATAAATACTTGAGCGAATAGATCATTTTATTTAAGGATTTGTGTTATTTTCGTTGCATCTACGGATTAGATCAAAAGGTTAGACGATATTTGAGAAGTAATTAGTAATTTTTTAAATGCACTCCTTGATGAGACTTCTAGTAACTAATTGGGTTAGAATAATTTTATTATGCAGAGATTTATGCGAATATTGCTGGTGAATGGGATTACAATGTTGTTCTTAAGTGGTTGATGCAAACAAATTAGATGTCAATAGGTATTTAGTTAATACGTGATTAATCAATGGTTGTATTATAAAGATAGGAGTTGATTTTATATTTATAGTTTGTAATATGATTCTGACAAGATTCTTGAGAACGTGTAAAATTTGCGTTAATCAGCTCTAGTAATTAATGAAAACTGAACGTTTCTATCGGCTCTAAATAGAATAGAATATTATTACAACATGATATACAATTATTTCTCAATCTTATTAAAGACGTGTCGTCGTATACAATACAAATCAATAAATGATTAGTCAGGTTGTTGAATTAATTCATGACTGGATGAATAGATTATTTTTCATACCTTTCCCAGTATGACTAACTCCACACAGATGCTAAGATACTTATACCCAATAAGTTATAAATATCGAAAAGTCAACAATATTAGTACTATATCTTTAAACACAAAGCATGTAAATAAATAATAAATAAATATGAAGTAGAAAAATAAAATATAAATAGAAAGCAATGTACAAATATAAACTGTAGATGTGAAAATCACAATGTTCTATCAGTCCAAGTATAATGTTTTATATATAATAAATTATCTTTTCAATAATTTTCAATAATTAATATTAATTTATCCGTATTTATTATTCGTTCGATAATTTTTCCCGCAAAAATTTGAAACTTTTTCAGTAAAATCAAAAATGCTTTTATCGATTCGTGGACGCAACTTCGACGAAAATCTTCCATACGGATATAGCACGGGTATATTTTCTCACTGACGCAACACCACCACCACCGTGACAATTACGTTTCGCATGAGATAAATATGCATGTCATCTGGACATCGAACACGGACACGAAAATCGTCGAGTGCTATTAATTCACGGGCCAGCCTACGTACCCAAGCAACGAAAAATTATTTTTAGATTGCGATACACGATAAAATTGGCTCTATAATACCCCTACACGTGGCTCGGCGCGCAACCTTCACCTAAATGTAAAAGGATTCACGTTTCTTTGTTTAATTAATTCGGTATTTATTCGGCTGGTCATTTACCTTGAACCATCGTTTCTTTAAAATCCAATCAAGTTAATGAGATAACTTACTCGTGGGTATCTGAAGCAACACGTTCGAGAGGTTCCCGTGGATGTCTATGACGACACGATGAATCCTAGGGTCTATCGAAAAATTCGCTTGCGTCTGATGACTCAAATTGTACTTTTCTGCTATGTGTATCTGGATTCAAAGGATTCAAAGGATAAATAGAGTTTTTTAGGTGGAAATATTTTACGTGGTTCGAGAAGATGATCTTAAAGGGCAGCAGAGACGATTAGACTTACGGGGTCGTTAGGTCTGCTACCGTTCTTCTCATTTTGCTCGCTATTCTTCTCTTCTGAGTGGGATTCTCTGTTTGCATAATTCGTCATAGTTATTACTTCAACGATGTTGCAATCTAGGTCAAGGTAAATCTAAAAGCATAGAGAAGATCACGAGCACTATCGAAATAGCAGTACGAATTGTTTCGAACAGTACCTGGCAGTTTCTAGGGATGATGTTTGATCCTTGTGTATATGTCCATTCTGTTTGCGATGGTAGTCGAGGTCGGTCTGAAATATTTAGGTTTGTGTCAGGCTCATGTAAGCATGTCTTTCTGTGACGCTTTATGTAGTATAATTTTGTAATATAATGTCATTTATTACGTTTATTAGGTATGTATTATTAGGAATGCTGCATGTATTGAGGTTTATGTATCTTACCTATTATATCAGTGTCATTAGCTGTCCAAAAGAGATTAATATACTGAATATTGTCCTTTTGATTGAAGTCTTCCTGTATGCAGTACCTGATTGAGAGATCCTGTTATTTATTTTACTTTCATATAAATATTTAATTTTTAATTAAAATTGGTTTATTTTAATTTTCCTTAAAAATGAACTTTGACGTTTCATTTTGGAATGACTACCTTGATAAGCTATAAATTACCAGCTATTCCGTAATTAAGACAGCTAAATTGAATGTCTGGATACTAATTAACAGTCGCGCTATCATCACTGAGAAAGACGCGAAAACGTCTTTTGACAAGTTTTTTCTTCCAAACTTATGATCATTCTCGATATTTAATCCATCTCTTAATATACCCACAGAGTACATAAGAAATTGCAAAACCTCTCTCTTAAGTGATACCAAAAGCTACGCTACTAAAACGATCTAAATTTCCGACTCGAAGAAACGAACAAAGTCCCGTTAAAATCATACCAAAATATAAAATTTCTTGCATTAAACTCATTACAGTTAAACGTCCAAATATCAACCTCAATCATCAGACACCTCACCTAGAGCACTTATCGTTAAAGAAAAGCACAGTTTCCTCATCATTGGTCTCGTCTGTTTCCCGAAAAACTCCAGCTGATGTCCGTCTCGAGTCTATCCAATGATCCTCTCCACTTTTCAAATCCTCAGGCTTCCTCAGAAGCTTCCGATCAACCCCTAAACTCTCATCTATTCCCGAGTTAGGGTTCACAGTTGACGCAGCCACGAGGGCCACTATACACTTAATACACACCAGGTAACGAATTAACGAAAAGTAAAAGCACGATGTCATTTTTATGACGAGGTCTTTCGGGAACACTCTTGTCGCAAGACTGGTCGTAAAAATGAAACAGTCACTTATAAGGTTCCGGGCGTAGCCGTTTACAAAAGGGTAAGGTGTCCGTCAATTACGTGGACGATAACGTTGGCGGCAAAGTAAATCTAGGTGTAAACGAGACATGTTACACAATCACAGGTGTTTGATGTGTACAGGATGTGAGGTCGTTTATAGAGATCGGTAATTAGAGATCGGACAGGATGCCAACGCAATCGGCCGCGTAAGAAAAGCTACGGGGCCTTTATCTTCGTCATTGGGACTTCGTTCATTGTATCCTGTTCAATATTGACAGTTCGTGAATAATACAATCCGGGGTTCCATGGTATCGAAAGTTTCACGGTTAATATGTCATGTCGAGGTGAATAGTTTGGTGTGGGACATTTGACTGTGTTGCAATCGTTTAGGCGGGAATTCATCTTGCCGCGTTTTCATGTATAGAGCGGATTCTTGGGAAGATTTTTGGGCCGTTTTTTTTATTGTTTGAGGGTTTAAGAATGACGATTTAAGAACTTGAAATTTTATTGCGGATTAAAGATAGCGCGAGTTAGATTAGTTAGCAGATTAGGTTATTAGGGATGGTAGGTTTGTTAGAATTAACAGAAAGAAATTAGGAGTTAGAATTGAAGAATCGTAAATCTTGCAGGATTTAATAATAAAAATTAACATCAAGCTGAGAACTAAGAATGATTGTAGTGTTATAGTGTTAAACAAGTTGTTAAGACCCTTATAATGTTTCTTAAATAACTGCACGAAAAAGAAATTATTTTGTTAATTTATTAACAAATGAATATATTAAAATGGTTTATTTTGGAACACCAATTGTTTTGTTATATGCTTATTATTTTTAATAATTAATATATGATTGTTAATCATTTTTTGACATTTTTTTAACATCATTAACAGCATTCGATATTTGAAACAAATTTCGAAATTTATACAATATGTGTGCTTAAAGGGAAACTAGAATTCTGTGGAAATAGATTATCTGTAGTAGAGACCTATGTATCTATCATTTATCTAATAAGAAAATATTAGACACTTTGTGATATGTACATATATGTATACGTACATGTATCACACTTTTTCAATACTTATATACACGATACGAATAATTCAATATGAATTTTATACTGACAAAAATGTAGTACATTAGCAAAGCATTAAAATAACTGTTTCTTTCAACCAAAAAAGAATAATAAAAAAATTCCTTTCATTTATTTATTTCCAAAAATATCAAATTTCATTCACAGCTATATTCACGTTATAAATATCAGTATCGAATGATTGAACACTGTCAAACGGTAGTTTCCAGTATCCGTTCCTATCACCAATATGTTCTCCAAACAGGAACAACGTCAAAACGTACCTTACACATCAATCGTAAAAAAGCCCTAATCTGCATCAATTTCCATTAATTATAATAATTACTTCCCATGTCATTGAATCACCCAAAATAAAATAGAACCAATTTTTACTCCATCAAATTACCAGTTTCCTGTATGTCGTCAACCTCGCCGCACTGCTATAAACTATACCAAACATTCATGGAAACTTTCCATTATTTTCAGATGCCGAAACGAGCAACCTCGAAGTACAAGACACAGCCAATTTGCATAACTTAGCGACATCGGCGACCGTGACCGATGCAGACAGTGAGTTCACTCCGATACCCCTGCATCCGGAGGAAACCAAGATTCCAACGAGTCAGGCAACGAAGCAGGGCTACCTCACCTCTATCCTCTCCTCTCTGCCCAATTTGTCCCTGTCGTCGATCACAGGCGACGCTTCTGGTACTCAGGCGAGCCAGGCTGTCGAGAACGTAACGGATCTGCATAATACAAATCCTTATGTGCCTTCGTTCGATCATCACGACATCTTGAGGGATACCTCGCCGCCCTTGGTCGCCAACTTCCACGATCCTCGACGCGTGAATTTCGAGGTTAACTCCGGAAGTACCGGAAGCTTGCCAGCGCCACCGCAGGCGACGGTGCCGCCCTCTATTCCTTCGTCGACGAACGGTGAGTACTTGGAACGTTCGAGTTTTCTATATACGACCAATTATCGAAACCAAAACACAACAAAGCTCTATAGATAATACTATGTTATCCTAAAATCCTAAAATATTTCCACACGTACGAAAAATTTTGTTTTTACGTTTTTGGTATCTAAAGGTTGGATTATATCAGGAAAAGCAAGAATATTAACTGTGGTGGTATTAAATCAATTGAATAGCTTTTTTAAATGTCATTATTTCATCGACTTTCTACGTGTGCTTGAAACCATCTTAAACGCAACAAATGTTTCTAACGCAACAAATGCTTCTGAGTGTAGAGAGATAGAATTTTCGAAAATATTTCGATATGTGGAAAGAAAAATATCGTACAGGTGATAAATAATGATCAGATAAAGCGAAAGAAAAAAAGGGAACAAGTATAGCCAGAATTTGCAAATGCTATGTGCTAAGTTAACAGTTGAGATAGGCCAAAGTCAAGAGGGATACTCTGACCTCTGCTTTATTCTTCGATACTCTTGACATTTATACTTCTAGGTACTTGGAGACATATTCTGACATAATGGTAGGTTAAGCTAGGTCGACACCTTTTTTATCTTACGTTTAATAGCACAGGAGCAAGAAGAATAGTTTTTGCCTGGCTCTTTGATGTTCTTGACGTCTATTCTGTGAACCTTTTGCTATAGCCTGGTATAATTGTAGGTTAGGTTACGTCGATACACGTTTTTATCCTATGTTAGCACAGAAGCAAGAGGTGCTCTGATCTCTTCACCTGATTCTTTGATGCTCTTGAAATTTTAGGCTCTTACTTGGTATATTCTGAAGTTAGGTTGGTACCCTTATCCTCTCTGTGTCTGCACTGTTACTTTCCTTTTACTTCCTCATCACAAAATGCAATGTAATCTTATTTGTAGATATAACACTTCCAGTCAGTAATCTATATCTAGAATTTTATTAGAGAAGTATGGATCAATTATTATAGTTAGTCAAATTCGCATTCTTTCGGTTGAGACTTAGCATTTTGTCAAGGATGTTGAGGATGAAATTAAAGTACGAAATCCAAGGTTACTTCAAGAATTGATCATGAAATAAATAAATATATTACTTATATTTACTCAAGATCTATATTTATGTCTGAGAATGCATTTAGTATACCTGCAGCATTAAACTATTACAACATTTTTTTAAACAAGTTGAGTAGATTAAATAACACGAATGTTTCCTTTCTCTTTCAGGACCCATTTCGTATCGACTCGGTAATCAAAGACGTCTCAAGTATGCACCGCCTCCAGATATAACATCAAATACATCCAAACAATACTCTGCACCAGTGGCTCAACCGGTGTTCACGCCCCACGCCATTGTAAACCCGAATATATTAAATCCAAACGAACCTGTTGTCCCAATCCCAAATTACCAACCAATCGAAACCTCGATTTCTACAAACTCACCATCATTGCAACGTTCCACGCCAGAGTACTTATCCCAGACCAACTCCCTGCAAGAATCTTTCAGATCTAGCCCAGTAGGAGCAAGTGTCCCTTACAGTTCAACCGGAACCTCGCGAAGCGTGACGCCACAGAATCAAAATTCGAGTAGCGAAGCTGTCCCTGTACCTGAGAGACCAAGTGTTTCTCTCTCCACTTCACGGACGATTCCTCTGCAAGTTCCAGAGCCAACTACTCCACAGAACACGCCAGCCAATGTTTCTTACCTCGGCTTCGATGCCTACTCGAGTCAACGAGAAGCGATCAATTCTGCTCCGAGGATCATCAATCTAGACAAAGAACCACTTATAACGAAAAGTCAAGCAGAATTACCATTATCGTTTTTAAAAGATACCTTGAAACCTATCTTGGAAAGCAAGCCTACCGTAACCTTTGCTCCAGTTTCTGCAGTTCAGGTTACCGAGAAGTTAGAGAACCTGCTCGCTGAACGAAAGCAAGATTCCTCAGAATTGTCCACCGAGACACCAGCGAAAGTCGAGGAAAGTACATCAGAGAGCCAACCTGTCGAAAGTTGTCAGAGTCTATCAGAGAATATTACATTAAGTAACGTAGAGGATAAGAAGGATCTGTCGAAGCCTGACGGATCAAACGTTTCGTTGGTGAAACCAAAGGCTTCAGACACAGCACCGATAGCGACATCTGCTCAGGAAGTACGTACAGAGAAGCTCGATGCACCGCTTCACAGTCATGGTGTTTCATCGAACGTGCTACCCCTGCAGCAACATCATCAACCGCAGCCTTTCGTGTCGAGTGCTAACTTCTTTGCAGAGAAGCTATCAGAGCAGAGATCGAGTTTGACTCATACACCTGCTACGGTATCTTCAGGTGCAAGCACCTTTTCGGACTCCTCGAAACCATTCGCACAATCGGCGAGCTCGTTCTTCAAGGCACCAGAGCCTACCAGCTCGTTTCCATCTTTTCAGTACAAAGAGAATAGTTCGAATGCTCACGTAGATTTAGTTACTCCGAGAAACGATACACAGAGATTACACTTTGGTGGTTCGATAGATCCCAATTTTGCTAATTCTCAGATACCTGTGACACAGTCCTCGTGGGGCGGTAGTCAAACCAGTGAGGTTATTCAGTCAGTGCAGCAACCTTTGTTCTACAATCCT